CTTGGGACTTACCATAGCACACATCCGTCTGTAAAATTCAATTTACACATGATAGGCAGCAACAGACCCTTCGGCCTTCCATAGCACACATCCGTCTGTAAAATTCAGGCAGCAACAGAGCCTTCGTCCTTCCATAGCACACATCCGTCTGTAAAATTCAATTTACTGACCATCGTCTGCAACAAAGCCTTGGGGCTTACCATAGCACACATCCGTCTGTAAAATTCGATTTACTGACCATCGTCTGCAACAAAGCCTTCTGCCTTCCATAGCACACATTCCTCAATTTGTCGTGCCTTTCGTAGGCAATGCGAAATCTAGTACGTGGTGCATGCGTACTCGGCGCCATGGTGCAAAGCATGTGCTCGCGACCGCTTAGGACCACCCTGCGGTGGTCCTAAGCTTCAACCCCCCGAATATATCTTTTGCCCCCCCCACAACATATGATTTCAAAACATCGACAAGGGAACGAACAGTGAATTATAGGGTTTCAGGGTCATTCAAAACATCGCAAGACCCGAGCGTGCTGATGAAGGAGGCATCTGTACATGTATTACGCGGTTAACTGTAAAACCGGCATCTTGAATCGTGCTGTTTGCTAGCGCGATTAAGAGGAAAGCAAGTGCCTCCATACCATTCGTTTTTCAAAGTATCGACGAGGGAACAAATAGTAGATTACGGGGTTGCCGCCTAGCTCGTCATACTGCAAGGCGTATGAGTACTGCTAAAGGGGATATTGCTCACAGCCCGTACATGCGTTCTGCGGTTGACCCAACAATTCGAAAGTAAAATCCGCGCGTGCTGCTGAAAAATGCTTTTTTTTTTTTTTTTCAAAAGCGATTCAACATCTTGACAACACTGAGTTTTCCCAAATTCATTTTGTCGATAGTTGTGCCAGGAAGGAAAATGTGCACGCAATGCAACTGACTAGCACACAATCCTCGAGGGAAAAAGGCTTTCTACTCTTTTCGAAACGCTGGTACCGTTCAGGTGTGGCTGCACGTGCTTAACGAGCCTTCGGCCTACCATAGCACACATCCGTCTGTATAATTCACCACCCTCCCCCGCTCGTGCTTTCACCACCCGTTGCTGTGTTCACCGCCGTGGACGTCCCATCAGCACGCTGGACTCCCTTGGCTCCCCCTCTCCCGTTCGTATATTGACCATCCTGTCATGTGTTCACCACCGTGGACGTCCGAACAGCCCGCATGTGGGGGACACCTGTACGCAAAAACAAGGGCGGGGGCGGCCATGATTGTGTTGGTGATTCGCATCGTTTTTTATCGGCGCAAGTTTCAATACCTGGATAAACTATAGTAGGGCCATCTTTTGTATGAATTTAGATGTAGGGTGCCCTTGGTTACCCCTACTTTTACCTCGGCAGTACAGATACGCTAATTTATGCCCCATTTTCATGTAAAAATGGCCATATTTCGAGTATTTTTACGATTAGTAGGGCCGAATTTCCTTGACTAGCGCTCGAACACGACTTAAAACCTAGGTTCAAAGCTGTAATCAAGGAAAGTCGGCCAGGATTGGGTGGATCTATGCCACGTGGGAAAGAGGGGCGCCTCGCTCTGGCTCACATCCGTGTCGCTCGCTAGATACGTGTCGCACTGGCTCTCGCTGGATACGTACTCGGAGGGGGATGGGATGCGTGGCATTGTCGGCGTTTTAATGCGTAGAAACAAAACATTTCTATGATTGAGCTACGTCGTTAGTCGAACGTAGTGGCGCCTATTTCGCCAGTACCAAGAAGCTAATAATACTGCCACTGAACGCTGGGTTAGAGTTAGACTTATAGGAAGCCGGGTGTGCCAGATACTCAGGCATGTCATCCAAGCAGTGCCTCCAAAGGCTCTGCTAAAGGGGCTGCGAGAAATTAGGAGCGACCGAGGTCCCGAGAAGTGTGATAGACTAGGACTGGGGGGGGGTTAACCTGATTAACGCGGGATATGAAAAAAAAAGAAACAGAGAAGCGAAATATTCCAGCTTCAAGTGGTGCTTAGGGGTATACGCTAGGGTGGGGGTTACCCCCTTGAAAAGGTGTGTCCAAATTTGGCAATATTTTCTTAATTATATGGCAACATTTGGACAATTTGTTTTTGCTGGCGTTTTCTAAGAACCTCGTTTTTATAGCTATCCATAGTTCCTCGTCATAGAATCATCGCGTTATGTACCACAGGCGTGTGTGTTTTTTTTCGGCGGTCGGTGCGGGGGTTCTGGCACGCTAAGCTATTTTTTGCTTTCGTTTTGCGCGCGGAAAGAAATCAGAAATCTTCAGCATTGGTGGGCGCTTTCTGGGACGCGCTTGAAGTAAATGCATCCCTTTTTGGGCCTCTACTAACCGTTTGTATTTGAGGTGCCGACATTCCACCAAGGACTTGCGATAAATCACAAAATACAAGTTAAATACTCGATAATACTCTGCATTGCATGTTTGCACTATAATACCTCTGGCATTTTGGTCTTCTTTTTAAGCAACGTGCTCTCGCAATATGCTCCATTACCGCTAGTTAGAGTGCGGGCGCAAAATCCGTGGCGTCAATACTCAGTATATTTTGCCTGGCTTTCGTAAAGTCAGGGTGGAACGAGTTGTCCGGGAGCGCCCTCATAGTATCTACCACCTTCTTGCTTCTATACATCCTGAAGAGACGCTGTATTTTGGTAACGGCCGCTGACTGCTTTCTGTCTCTGTACATTAGTCTACCCTTTTCCATGTCCTCAACGGTATATGGGAACTCAAACTCTTCACCAGTACCACATACATAACATATATCAAGCGAAAGCCACTTTTCGCCTTCATCACGAGATCCATGTGATGCTTCATACTCATTTCCATCTCGTGAAAGGTGAACTTGTAATCGTACATGTACTCAATGCATGCGTATATTCGACAGAGTCGTCAACATGATATCCATTCAGCACCCAGTAGTAATGCGGGATGCCAGAGTTTAAGGGTATCTTCATGTACTTCCGATGCACCAGATTACGGGTCACCGACTTGATGTGTTCGTTGGAAAGATGTGTATTTCTCTCTCAATCCAGTCTCTCCACCTGGAAGCGTCGTACGGGACACACATTTGGTCATCCTCGTCACCGCAATAGTGCCCACGTGGTTCATAGGATGTGTACCCTTTTTGAACCATCCATTTTGCGACGTCGTATGCCGGTCTTAGTACGATTTTAGCCCAAATAGGTTCGGCCCCCCTGTCGATTATTAGCTGGTGTGAATCTTCCAGCATCTGGATAAAATGATCTTGCTGACCAGCATCCCATTCTATGTAGTTTTTTTTCCTTTGCCCACGACGTCGTTGAACCAACATATCTCAGTTTGTGGCATAATTTCACAGGCATGACAATACCCGTCAAAACCACCAATACACCGCACGGGGGTTTTGCTCTTCCGTACAAAATATCCGAATCTGTGTTCGAATCCCTTCATCAAGCGTTGGGATAATCCAACATTTAAAAATACTACAAAACAATAACAGAGCTATGCCCCTCCTCACCGGATGTGGCGGAGAGCATCTAAAGGTGGGATTATTTTATTGGTGCAATGTAAACAATGGTCGTTGAGCTACCCACTTTCGCTGATGGAGAGTGGCGAACATACCATTTGCGATGGGACGAGAAACCAGCCAAACGCATGGGAATTCCATCCTAACTGAAGACACATATTTTTAGAGAACAGCGCTGCCGATGTGCGTTCTGCCAGAAAAGCATCTCCATCGACCCTGCTGATTTTGACTATGACCACGTAGTCCCCATGAAGTATGGTGGGCCGACGTGTAGGAGCAACCTTCAACTGCTTTGTGTGCGATGCCATAGGGAGAAATCAGGACTTGAATGGCGCAGACAGGTCAACGTGAGCAAACCAACAACTGTTTTTTGTATGAGCGGTGATGCCGTTTGAGTTTCACCTCAGGAAGTAAGCACCTTGCTGAGCTCTTCGCCGGGTGTGCTTTATTTGGAATTCGGTGACTTGCGAGCGAGCTGTGCGTGCATCAAAATGCCAGCACGAACAAGGGTTACTACGACGGATCTCTTAAGTCAAGTGTGGCATCTGCCAGCACGAACAAGGGTTACTACGACGGATCTCTTAAGTCAAGTGGATGCCAATACCGTGAAGGAAGAGTACGAGCTCCTAGTCCGCACAAGAAAGTACAGCTGTGCTATGTCGGAGGACATCGCTAAAAACAGAAAGTATTTGTGCAGAAGCACTATACCCACCACGTTAACGCAGAATTTGTCGCCGAGTTCACCAGGAAAAAGAATGCTATCTACAATCTGACGCTCATGAGCAATTTCCTGGGAGAAGTGGTGCGCAAAATACACTCGAGTATGACAGATTCTTTAGATTTGGTGAATCCTTATGTTCAACTAATCCCCGGTTTTGAAAAAGCTCTCCGATTGATAGGGTTTGAGTCTGTCGGTTCCTCATCCATCAAGATTGACATGGAGAAGATTTCTAATGAGGCGAGGAAAAGTATGGAGGGCACTGTCGCCCTTTCTACTACACTGAAGCTGGATAGAAAGCCTCGGGGCAACACGTTGTTGTCACAATTCAACTTCTATCTCGAAAGAGTTATCGGATACCACCTACAGTATCATAGGGTCCGCCGTGAAGGACACTCTGCGGCGGCCTACTCTCTCGTGTCTACTATACCGCCTGAGTATCTGGACAACATGCAGTACTCCAACGAATGGTTTGAAGCACATTGCCCAAGTTTTGATTTGCATATGAACTACCCGAGAGGCACCGAGCTTGCGTATATGCGAACATTGATGGCGCCTTCAACTACACGTGTGTCATCGGATCAGCTTGCGGAGGTGGCTTGTGTGATTGTGCTTTACATCAAGCATCACTCCGCGTCCATGCGGTGGGAGGTAGATTTCCAAAAGTGCATGTCGAGGAGCATGTACAATGAAGCGGCCGAACTACTGGGCTCGATTCCTCCTTGGAAGAATGCCTGTCACTTGCGGGATATGGTGGCATGCGGTTGGGCTGGGTGGATTGAACGACGTATACACGTACTTGTATTCGAGTTTGATACAGCCAGGAGCTTGTCCAGCCCGTCATTGGTGTTTGAAGGACCGACGTTGGCAGAGTTGAAGGCTACGTGGATATCGCGTGTCAGAGCTATGCGGGCGTTGAGGCGCTTGTTGCAAAAGTCGCTACCATACGTCCGGTGGACGATACGCGGTGGACACACGGAAAAGGTATTTATGATTCGCTTCGCATGTACGACCAGCAGCTCACTCACCCCCGAAAAGCGCGTGTCTGACAATAGTCCTAAAATCACGGACTTTTTCGGGGCGCTTTCTTCCGTGGCGCCAAAGCGCGCAATTTATGATTCCCGCCGCATGGACAACCAGCAGCTCACCCCTGAGAAGCGCGTGTCTGATGATACTTTTCAAATCACGGACTTTTTCGGGGCGCCAAAGCGCGCAAGACCGGCCTAGTCAAGCCTCCGTCACATTAAATATCAACTCTGCATCAAGTCAAATGTCCCTCCACATCCCCGTCGCTGAAACCCCATCGGGCAAGCTCGTTGTACCATCGTGCTCCAAGGCCGAGGGACCTTTCAAGTGCCTGGAGTGTGCCGGAGCGTTGGTGCTTAAGCAAGGTAAGATATAAAGGTTTTCATTTTGCGCACCACCACCTGTCTTCCGGCTGATCTGGCGGTGGGGAATCTGCCCTCCACAAGGCAGCGAAGTTGCTCGTTGACAAGTACTCTTCGCGCTTCATTTTCACGGGGAAGTGTGCTACAGGAACACACGAAATCGCACGACAGTACACCGATTGTACAGTAAAGCAGGAACATCATCGCTACGATGCGCACAAAAACCACTCGGCCGACGTGGCCATCTTCCAGAACGACAGCCTTGTTTCTCTCGTGGAGGTATGGGCATCTCACGCAACCACGGGGGCATCGCTAGCATCACGCAAGCCGTGTGTAGGCGTGAACAACGTGGGGAGATTTCGGCTGTAGAAATCCTCAGCAAGCAGGCCACATTGTTCACCACGGCAGACGCAGTTGAGGTCATTTCCCTTCTCAACCATGAGCCGGAGGGGTGCTCTTGCAAGCAGTGCCCGGGTTGCGACACCTACCACACCGGTGAAAGCAGGGAGGAGTGTGATGCGTGTGGTGGGGAGTGGGATGAGTGGAACTACAAATGGCTCGAGGTGATGAGTCATCGCAGTTTTTTCATAGATCGCGTGTTTATTCTCCTCGACATGATACCGGCGTGGCGAAAGACTATGCTTCCCGTGCTAGAAGACATAGCGAGTACTCGTTTTGAGGAACAGGTGCACCGTGCGTTAGATAGGTGTGAGATGTCCCTCGCCACTCGGGATTTGAACGCATACGCTGCTTTTCGTCCCGGCGGCGTAGAATGTCTAGCAAGGCGACGTTTGGACCGGATAAACAAATCGCTCCGCATTCTAGGGCCTCATCTCAACAAGAGATTCGCTTTGTTTCTTGTCTGGAGGCTCCAACTTTACAAATGTTTACGAGCTCGTTCGTACCATAAGGCTGATGAACATTTGGAAACCATCCCCACGTGGAAGGATGCACACCAATTCAGCGTGTTGGTCGTAGAGTCCGAGGAACGCAGTCGACAGGACAGAGAGAAGAGAAAACAGTCGGTTCAGAAGCTAGAGTCCGACACAACCGTGGTCACTATTGACGACAACACGCTGCTGCGCAACGGCGTGCTGATGAAAAAGCTTTTCTTCAAGCCTGGTGACAGAATTGACCGTCGCTACGGGTGGGTGAGGGCACCCAAAGTGCAATGATACTCCCGGCTCCAGGATGGTGGAGTGCACGGAAACCGAAAATATAATATTTGTCTGCTACTAGACTTGGAGGTGGAATAGTTTTTTGTGGTGGTTGCACAAAAG